CCGGCGTAATTAACCACACGGGATGTTAGGAGAACACGAGAAAGGTTTGCAAATCACTCGCCTCCGGCTTGTGATATAAAGTACGGTTTACTGGATTTATAAAATATTTGTGATGGAATTAATGGTGCAAAGAAAAAAGAGATAGGTTTTTGACCATTCAGGGCGGTCGTGGCATCAGTTAGCTTATGATCCAACGACTTTCCATACTTGATGAAAGAGCGCAGCAATCACCATCTTTCTTAATCTTTTACATCGTAACATCAACGTGCCGCATAATCTCCATACTGTTCTTCCGATGCTGACGAGGAGAATTTGCTTAAAAATCAAGTTCTTCGATAGTTGCCGATCATTTCCTTCATTTTCAGGACGTTAACGGTTGAATCTGATGACGCGACTCGTGAAAATCGCCAGCTCATAAAACAGCTCCTTTTTCGCTACACTCTTTTTGAAAGTAACATGCTTACCTCGTAGAGTTTCCTTACAAAGTACCATTTTATTACTCAAATTCAAACTCCTGGTATTTCTGAAAGCAACACTAAACAAAGTCTCTATTTAAGGAACAATACATTATGGTCACCCTTGGTGCAATAATTACAGGTTATTTACAGCATTTAGCAATATCTTGTGGACTTTTCAAATGGAGATCGTGTGGCTTAAATTGTATGACAATTCAAGAGATAGTCGTCGTCCAAAGCACAGGAGAAACTACAAGCGATCTCTTGTGCTGCACTCATTCGTAACATTCAATGGTTAAAACTTGCAGCCTTGCCACGCGTCTTTTAAACACCTCTTGAGCTTGAAACGATTCAGGTTTGGGTTAAGCTTGACCAAGTCTCCAACCGTGTGTTCACATGATCACACCACAAGCTGAGGTTCACTACTGGCTTGTCGTTGTTGCATGCGCATTTGTTCTCCGGGCAGCAGTTCTCCTTCGTACAAGTTCTCTGTTGGGAGAAAACCTCAAAGTCAAACGAACAGGTTGAACTCGGATGAAACGTCACTCCGTTTCGTGTTACCACAACGGTATATTTAGGAAAATCTGTTTCATTTCATTTTACCATGAGTTAAACTTTAAATTAGCAATGTAAGTGGCTAAAATTAGTAAAATCACTTCAGTCTGCATAAAAAAAAACGAATTCTATAACCAGGTAGTTGATGTCTTAAATTCTGTATTCGTAACTCATCCCGTTTTAAAAGCCAAGATATTTCAGAAGATTAGAAACTCCACTCACCCGCCGTACATTCGTCTGACGGCTGAGCTGATACTAGTACCCAGCCCAACACGGCCCCTAACACGCGCATAAGGTTGATAATCCTCCAAGTATCTAACAACGACGAAGTCTCCGCGTCTCCCCTACGATGAACAAACAAACAAGGTAAACAGACGAATGGACGCAAACACGCCAAATATTGGCGAGTTTCGTTCACCCAAGCATCGAAGAGAGCGCTTTTCGATCGAGTGTCATAAACCAAAACCAAAGTTATTACAACAGCCAATCAGAAGAAAGGAAAATACCTTTGAGAGCCTAAAGCGCGGGAAAACGCAAGCGGTGACCAAGTAGTGATTAGTTTTAAATTTGTCTGATTGGTTGAGAGGATGCCACGTGTTTTTTGGACCAATCACAAACCGATGGGATTATGTTTGTCACTAATCATATATCAAAAGGAACCAATGAGAAGTCAACATGCCTACATGTTCATGGACAAAGGCGCGAGAAATCGCAGGTACAGAAGTGGAGTTTAGTTTTAGTCTTAATCTGATTGGTTGAGTACTTGGCGCACGATCTTTCGACCGATCAAAGAACAAAGTAAGATAAAACCAACAGAATCTCGGATTACAAAATTTAATTTATTAGTTTCGCCGACAGGCAGGGAACACCGCAACAGCTTGGGCCAATTACTGCGC